CTAACCTGCGGGAAAGCCATTACTGATCCAAAACATTTCAACGGACGGTTGCAAGGCCATAAAAATGGACTTAACTTTTATCCCCCCCAAATGATTGTGCCTGGATATTTTGTGCCTGGCCAGAAATGGAGCATCAGCCTCGCTCCCAGAACATGGCGCTCACTTCATTATATACTGACATGAGCGACTAGTGTCAAAGAGCCCCAGAAAACCAATGCCAATAGCTTTCGAATGGCTCCAAGTGAAGTATTTCTGAACGCACCTTAGGTCTGGCACCATGGAAAGAGAGGATTTTGTGAAGAAGTGGAACCAAGCAGATCATAGAAGTCAATAAGGATAAGAATGATGGATTCAATTATGCTGCAGAAGCTAAGAGTTTGTGTATAGTACCATCGTAGCAATGGGTATGCAATGCAACCTTTCAACTGTAGTTCCACAATGAGCCGGACAGAAAGTATCTAAATGCCTGTAAATGCTCTGTCTAATACACCTATTTTGGCTGCTGCGTTTCACCCACAAAATACAGTCAATCCACTTTACAATATATTCTGTGAAGTACTTTGAGACATCTCGATTAAGTTATAAGGCGTTATTTCAAATGCAAGAATTATAATATTATGTCCTTCATGTTCGCAGTTTACTAATTTAACAAACTTCATCATCGCAGCATCCAAGTTAATGAACAACGCTGAACGCTTCTAACAAAGGTTAATCTGACATTTATTTGACATTCATGTGATCTAAAATTCATTGGTGTAGCAAGAATAGGAATAATTGATGTCACATGAAGTTATTGTTGTAAAGTATGAGCAGACCATTTGGCCCATCAAGTCTTCACAGGGTAGTCTGTCCCTTTCATTCCCATTTCCCGGCATCATTAGAAATTTGTCTCCATTTGGTACCAGTATTTTAAAGCTCTCAAAAAGGTGCCAGTGAACCAGGAATGAATTGAAGCATACAGTGGCTAAAAATCAGGAATCCAATGGTAATCAAATTCAGTAGCCCAGTCATCAAATGTGGTAACTTTCAAAAATAAGACACCGACTAGTCAATTTGTTTTGGGAAGGTTCCTGGGCAAGTTCCGTGTTTTGGGTTAATTTCTTTCCTTCTCTCCGAAAGCTTCAGGCAATTGCTAGAAACATAGTTGTACAGTCAGCTCTCTACTATAGCTCAGTTGAGTCACTAATTTGTGAAGCTTGAAGCAGACTATTCAATCACAGAGACCATCACAGTGGAGTGCAGAATCCACTTCACATCAGGGAGGCACCGGGTGATGATCAGGTACATGAAACCAGACTCAATTTTCAAAATCCATTGCTCTGGTGTAACAAAGGATGAATCAATCGTGGAGCCCAAATTACTGCAGACAGAGAATTGAACCCGTGACCATCAGGTCTGTGACGTTTCTGCGCAAACAAATCTGCACAAACTCTACTTCAGTGAGTGACTAGTGAACTGGCTCCCTGGAAAATGGTGTTTGTTTCAAGAACAAATATACATGTCTGAGAGAAAATAATATCTGGGGATACAGTATATGTAATTTTGTTGTATATAGTTTAGGACACAACAAGTCAAGTGACTGCCAGGATGGTGGAAGGCGAATTAGGTGGACCTTGGTCTTCTTCTGCCCAGCAAATTCTTATGTTCGGTGTTACACAGTTAAGAGGCCTAACCTATCCAGCTTATGATGGTACAAGCTATTCGAGAACTATTATACTCTAATTCTTTATGTCCTACTCTTTGCTCCCAGACTTACATAAGGTTTCTTTTCCAATGTATTTAAATGTTGATGATCTTCACTCCAACTACTCACATGTGTCAATGCTCTCATTCCCACTCTCTCTCTCATACACCTCATCCCCATTAGAACACTGACGATTGGACATTCAAATTAAAAATAGGCTTCTCGAGTTTACAGTAAGCTCCCTTAGACTTGTTCTAAGCAACAAAATTGATGTTCACTTATAAGTTCAGAACAGGAATCAACTGCAAAGCTGTCTGCTGGAGAGAACCCAAATGTCTTCAAAGTAGGATTATAGCAATTCATTAGACATTTCCCAAACTACCGTTGAACCACAGTTACAGAGACCATGAAATGTGCCACCCACTGACTTCAATGTTTTATTCAAAAATTCAAATTTGAAATGGATCCTTTTCTATTCATTGCTTCACCTCCAAAGGAACACAATTAGTAGTGGAAATGTCACTGATCATTCATCAACTTTTGTGAAAGAACCTTGGGGTTCTGTAGAGAAAATAGAACAAGTTTGCTGGAGAGGCTGATCACACTTAGTAAACTCCAGCTATAAATACATCGGATGTGATATTATAACAACAATTTACATTCGGCTTTTGCACGTTTCACATCAGGACAATGTTACAAAGCGCTTCACGGGATGTACTGTGAAATGCAGTCACTGCATGTGTTTTTGTATGATACAAATATATATATATATATATAATCCTTGTATTTGATATAGCGTCTTATCACATCTTCCAGATGTCTCAAAGCGCTTCACAGTACACTTTAAAGTGAATTGACTGCATGATTTGTGGGCAAAACGTAGCAGCCAATTGCACACAGCGGCGCCAATTGCACAAACAAGTGTGCATTGAGTGATCAAATTATTATTCATTTTGTAGGCTAATGCGTCAGCCAATTTTGTGCACAGTAATGTCCCACAGCCATCAAGTGAACGACCAATTGCTTTTATGATGGTTGCTGTGCTACACAAAGCAGCCATTGTAAAACATGTCAGTGAACCTCGCCTGCAAAGGTAGGATTTGCATTTGGCAAGTACAGCGCGAACACTAAATGGAAGTCATTAACTTTCGTTGATGAAAAGAAAAACCCAATAAATGTGCTGGCTTAAGACACAATGTGAACACAGGCAGCTGAACACAAAACTCCGCAGAGATCGTTTCAGCTCCGGCCACCTGAATCCAAACAGAATTTGCCCTTTGTCAGATACATTTCAAAGAAACAGGTAATTTCTGTGTACAAAAACTCGGCCGCAGTAGAAATCTGTTGGACAATAATCGGACATAAAACACAATGATTCAACGTAGAGATTATCAAATGTGAAACTAGCCTGACTTTCAATTAGCTGAAACAACTCTTAAATTTACGTTTTGTTTGTAAATCTAACATTTAATGGTAAGGTTGATTTCTCTGACCAAGTTAGTTGGTTAGTTAGCTTTGATGCGAGAACAGCAGCCAATTCCACTGAAAAGAGGTTTTGCAGCATCATTCCTGCCAGCACAGTCACTTAATACATAACTGTGTCACACTGTTTATGAACAGAAGAATTTGCTCAGTGAAAGAAGATCAAGGTCCACGTAGTTCGCCTTCCACCATCCCGGCTTGGGATTGCTGATATCATGGAAAGCTTCAACTGAACATTTCGGCCAACCTAAAAACTTTTTATATTTTTTTNAAACTAAGGAATTTAACACACAGAGACTGGGACGCTCGTCGACAATTGAATACTTCACTAGGATCCAACCTGTCCAGTTTAGTTAACAACAGAGAGTCCTGTATTTGGCAACACATCTTACCCCCCATTGGAAACAGCAAAGGAAGTTGCCTGCTACGACCGAGTCTGTCAAGGGGCGAAACTGAAACTCGCTTCCAACAGCTCTTCCCAGGGAATGGAGTCAATATCTGCCAATCTTCATGTGAACACGCAACCTTTCATTTCTCTTCAAACGATCTCATCTCAACAGTTCATAAATACACTATACTGTATAGCACACACATTATATGTCAGACGAGGGCACAAAAATCGCAGAGGGAGGGTCAAATAAATAATACCTGTAAAACACCTGTATATTGAAACTGTTTGCCAGGATGAACACTATTGCAAATTAAGCATTTCAGATTTCATTTAACGTAGTCTTTAACGAATGAAATCTGGAGAGAAAAAAAATCATTTTTGATGTCTAATATGTTTAAGAAAACCATGATGAATTCACAAGTAAACTGGATCCTGGAATATTATTGCTACAAGTGCATATTGCAATTTTGAAATGGGCTCAACCTTCACATGAAAGGGTCCGCAACAGGGAGTGAGAAGAACGAGAATCTTTTCATCCTTTCATTGTGGCACTGTGCCAGGGGAAAAACTTGCACGAAGCAAGAGAGTTCCTTTCAGAAAGAATCATTTGTGCCACAAATGGAATCACACCGAGAGCAATGCTGTTATTACAGCATTAAATTAAAAATTGATCTCGAGTCAACACAGAAGAAATACTCCTGTACATCATCACCCTCTTGTGTCCAAAGAGTGTATCCAAGAAGCAGGAAAGGAATTATAAAAAGCTCGATTATTCAGCAGTTACAATTGGCAGGACGTTACATTGCAATACTTTGCTCCACTTCAGAGAATAATAGGAAGTGAGCAGGAGTCCGATCACAGCGTGGCTGCGGGACTTGAGAAGAACTCCAACCACACCCGGGAAGAGATTACGTTTAGAAAGAACCCTTTTCGTACCTAAATTATATTATCTGAATCCACAATGCACAACTGCCCAGAGACAGACCCATTAAATAAATGTCTATGTTTGTTTCACCAACAGTTAAGTTAAATCTAAAGTCAATGAGTATCAAACACAGTAAAATTGTGTAAACCACTTTAGCCTCTTTTTTAAGAGGTGGCTCTAGCCTTGAGAACTCTTGCATCAATTCTCAAGTACATACTAACTAAACTAACTAACGTGTAGCGGAAAGCAAATGGTACAAAGCTTGCCTGCAAAATAGACAGTTACTTTGCTTTGCAGGTAATCCTGTGAAATGTTTGGAGACGTCCTCACGATATTGAAGCACTATATGAAAGATTATTACTGTTATGAAGTTAACTTATACACATTTTGCCAACTTGATCACCATTATTCAGAGCATTTGATTCTTCTTACTTAATTATAATCTGCAAAGGAAATGGTATGTGTATGTATTATAGACATGAAAATAAAATAAGAAAAAGTAAGACAAGGCAGCTTACCGTGAAATACACCGTTCCCTGCTAAAAAGTGTCTGCAGTATTGTTGACCACCACTTCTTTTCAGGACCCAGGAGTTCATTCTAAATCAATAGTAGAATCTGGCTATTTATGCTTCGATGTAAACAAACTGCAAAATAAAAACAAATAATCAGGTAATGTGTAGGTTACCAGATCAAACGAGGAGCTGACGTGTGTGTGAAGTGGGGGAAAGGAAGGGCAACAGCTGAATTTATCTAATGGGCTTAACCGATTTAATAGTGCAGCCAGATCAGCCTCATGGTGAAATTGGATCATTTAGCAGTTTTAAAGTGGATTAAGGAGCGACCAACTTTGCTTACTGACCAAAAGAGTCTCAACAACAATCAAACAAACATAATTACCTCTGAACACAATTTTCTGGAAACACACACACACACACCACACACACGTACATTCGATAATCTTAAAGAGTGTTTGATTTCAGTGTAATTTTTCAAGACACCACCTATAAATAACATGTCTCAACCCCACACAGTAATAACATTACAATGCCTCTCACAGTCCTTAACCAATATAATTTCCGAGCCCTATGTTTGACTATCAAATATATCTCTGTCTCCAGTACATGGAAACTGCAATCCACATTAAAATAATAATGGATTATTAATAAGAAATAAAATGCTAGAAATTAAATTCAACAATCCCGATAGCAATTATAAAAGAAAAACACTTGATTTAGTCCCATGATTCAGGTACCGCTCAATCATCCACATATTAAATTGAGAGAAGTGGAAAAAGTATGAATTATGAATGGATCAAGTGCTGCCTTTATACATAAATGCATTTTGAAAAAGAATTGATAACTTTAAAGCGAAATTAAATATTTGTATGTTTCTTCCACGAAATATGCAGTCACTACACTTTACAGTATATTCTGTGAAGCGCTTTGAGACATCTCGAAGACGTGATAAGGCGCCGTATCAAATGCAAAGATTATTATTATTATTTATTTTCAGAAGAGGAATATATATACAGTATGGAAATCTGCGTTGTTTATCTCTGTCCTCTGCTACACTATGCAACAAATATCTTGTTTGTAGTGACAAATTATTGTCCTCCAATCAGCCAATTGTCACTACCGTCTCAGCTTCTCTCTTTAACCGCACGGTCCTCTCTCTCCCTCTGTTTCATCACTTTCACCCGTACAGCAGCCACACACTGCAAACCTTTGCAAATCTCCTCGGTCTAGTGATTCCATCCAATCTTTGCTTCACCCAAAGTAAAGACTAACCTATTCGATGGTGGAAGTTAGTACCATTCGCCTGCAAATTGCTGGATTGTACAGTCACGTCAGCCATTATAAGAGAATTTAGTAGCATCATTATCACATGTCTATACAAAGATCCAGCAGACAGGATAATCGGTGGTGGGCCAATTGCTAACTCCTCAGGCAGGCAGTCAGCAAAGACTCAAAGATTGCGAGATGATTGTGGACAAAAATTGAGTTTGCAGGTTTCTCATCTCATCCGGAGACACAATGCTGAGAAAGAAGATTAAAACCTGCCAACGTAAGCCTTGGCCTCCTCCCGGTACATAGCCCCCTCCCCCCCAGTGCAGACTCGACTACTCAGTTTCCAGTTGTTGTTGGCTCAGTAACCCAATCCCATCCTCCTCCTTCCTAGGCCTCTGATCTTTGCTTAGAAGATTGAAACATCGAAAACTGAGTGAATAAAGATGAAGGGTCACAGAGAACAGTGTTTGTCTGTGTAGAGATCAGAATTCCTCCTGGTATCCTGTCCAACAACCCTCCAGATCAAATTGATCACAACTGTTTGCAGGGAGATTGCTACCACAAATTGGCTGCCAAGTAAATAGTCACTACACTTACAGTAAATCCCATGAAGCGCTTAAATGAGTCGTCCTCCTGACATGAAAAGTGCTGTATCAAATGCAAGGATTAATGGTTAAATTATTAACACTATATCACGCTTAAACCCAATCACACAAGGTAGCACCACGTTCCTAGCGTGAGAATGTCACAAAGGATTTGTGGCAGAGTGCTGGGTTTTATCCCAAATTGCACTGAACACTTTATTGCTGGTGAAGAGGGAAGTTGACGAGTGAAAAGATATTTTACAATGAAGCAAATCACATAGGATTTCACCATCATCCAATGAGTTGTATTTGAATCTGTAATTATTTCACAAGAGCAACTTATGAGACTTGGGCACAACACTAGTTATTGGGATTGCTGGAATATTTATTTACATTGTATGAAGTGAATTAATAATAATAATCAACCTTGTATTTGATATAGCACCGTATCAAGTTGAGACATCTCAGCGATCCCGGCCCAGAAAATATAACTTATTATTATTAATTTATTATTAACAATACATAATAAATAAATAAATTATCAACCTGTCTAACAGGCTGTTACAATAAAAAAACTGGTGACACTAAAAGTCGGAACAAAAGAAAGGACTGACATCCTGCAATAAAGAGGGAGGGGATCGAACCTTCAGCAGCTGTTTTGCTGGCGATGTTGACAGCCAATTTGCCCAGAAATGAATAAAGCAATACTCTCACCGGGGCTTTGGCTTCCACTGTGCAAACCAAGCTTGGCAGATCCTTGCTCCAGCAACTACACGTTACTTTGAAAAGGGCTTTTGAAATAATAATAATAATAATCCTTGCATTTGATACAGCGGCTTATCACGTCATTGAGACGTCTCAAAGCACTTCATAGAATATACTGTGAAGTGAATTGAGTGTATATTTTGTGGGCGAAGCACGGCAGCCAAGGATTGAGTGACCAAGTTTACTGCTAGGTAAACAGAGGCGTGTGGAGTAAGGAAACGTGCCCAAGATTTCATACTTTTTATAAATTTTATAATTTTTTTTNATAAATTAAGCATGAAGAAGAGGGCAACATTAAACTGCGGACTCGATCGCAATGGCAGCTGGACCCAGCTGCTGGTGTTAATTTAAGTCGTAACCCTCGGCAGCCATTAGAAAGGAAATCTTCAACCCATCTGTTGTTTGGACTGTATACAAGCCCATCATCAGGTCCCATGTGTGGTTCCAAAACAGTGGCCCCAAAAGCACAATGTCCCCAGAGAGTTGCTTTTAGCAGCTCGAGCACCTGGGCGCCATCACAGGACAAAGCCAACAGAATGTTCCTTTATATAAAAATAACTGATAAGCGGAAATTGGAGAAGACAATAAAACGTTGAGAAACGACCTTGTATCGACTATCAGGGGGAATGAACAGTAAAATGAGCCAGTGTTTCTCCCTAAAACGTTTCTCTTCGAGAGCAAGGACCGACCAGAAGTATTACTCCTCTCCTGCTTCGCAATCTGATAAACACTAACAGTGGTTCTCACTTTTCCCAGCGTGAAAATCATTTAACTCAGTTAATTAAAATGTTACCATTGCACTAATTGTACACCGTGTTGCGGTGACATTTGTTCCACATTTGCGGACTGGAACAAACACTCAGGATTCGGGGACATCAGGGCAGAATTACATGAAAGTCATACGTTAGCTGAACGTACTTTGCTTCATTGAAATAAGGTCCAACACTTTGATGTCCTTTCATTCTTCAAGACAAATGCTGGCGACTGAATGTAAACTTTTTGGTCTGCTCAACAAGAACAATCCCAGCAATCAACTGCAATTGCTCCAAATCGCTTTGACCTTGCAGGTGCTTAGAGAAATGCACATTCACTCACTCTCTCTCTCATCAACAACTACTTAAAGCGGTCGCACAACTCCTAAAACTATACTAATAATAATCCTCGTATTTGATACAGCGCCTTATCACGGTCTTCGAGACGTCTCAAAGCGCTTCACAGGATACACTGTGTATTTTGTGGGCGAAATGCTGCAGCCAATTGCGCACAGCAGTGTCCCACAAACAGCTGTGGATTGAGTGAGCAATTTTGTTTTCTGAGATTATTAACCCCGGAAAGCTATCGTAAATCGACTAACAACCGTACAATAATGGTATTGTTTGAATTTAGTCCGACTGCTCACCAGGACGACCAGTCTTATCTTCTCCAAGGACAAGTGGAAGAACGCTGAACATGTACTTCGTGCAAGTCTGGTTAATAATAAATAAACACAAAATAATTTGGTCATTCAATCCACTATTACGTGTAATTTTCTGCCAGGTTTCACCTACAAAATATACAGTCAATTCACTTTACAGTATATTCTGTGAAGCGCTTTGAGACATCTCGACAATGTGATAAGGCGCTGTATCATATGCAAGGGTTATGATTATTATTATTAACAATTTGACATCCGATGCAGCATTTCTTTTCATAATATGGCACGGCATGCCAGTGATTTTACCCAAGACCCTGGGATAAACATGTCACGCAAACATCTCACGTTTTAGAACACAAATGCATGAGCAACCGTTAGCAAACTATACCTGAGGCAGTGCTTGCTGGTTGGTACTCAGGGTTACACTGCAGCACGATATTTGCCAAAGGCACAGTTTCATAGAACATTGCGTTCAATAGGTTTTTACAGAAAACTTTACAGAAAACCATTAGTGAGTGGATCACATTAGATACTGGATTTACTGAAAAATATTCTTCTTGAAGTAAAATTACCCTTTCATCTTAACGTTGGAAACTCCCCCTAACCAAGCTGCTCTGTCGGACCAAACAATACCCCCACTCCCTTCTAAACCACGCTGTTTCCTTGCTGCTTTGGTGAAGGGCCATTGGCTGGAAGATAAGTCGACTGTGGAACACGATCCGTGTCGTGAGTGAATGGACAATGTTGGAAAGTAACCCAACACCTCACGTTCAATGTAGCAATGATGTTTTTGAAATATTTATCCACTGTTATGGAGGGAGGGAGGAGAAATTGGAAGAATCAAGCCAAATCTTCTGACAATCACAGTTTTTCTTTTTCCAAAATAAATCCTGCTCATTGTCAAGGCGACTGCTTTAATGGGAATTTATTACACACACACACACACAAAAAAAACACAAACTTCCCACAGCACAATTCCAGCAAAAAGATATATATCATCATCATCCTAAGCACAGTGTTTCATTGAAAGCTATGGGCCGTTTGTTCCATTCATGAGCGAGTGGAAGTGCCAAAAATATACCAAGTGGAAATTC